ATACCCCAGTTTCAGCCTAGAACTTTATTTTAGATGGACTGTATGTGTGACATCTGATGCATGATGAAAAACAACATAAATATAATGTTTCTTATATTGTTGTGCATGCCTACTTTGAATGCTGCCAGGAAGAGAATATGTTGTCATGTTATTTTAAAGATCACAGTTACTGTTGTAAACCTTCTGTACATTCACCCTGACTATTCTGGTTCTATTAGAAATGACTAAAAGGGATGTTTTAAAATAATTCTGTGAAAAATACTGTACTTAAATCGCTGCTAGTGAATTTAGCCAATCTCTGGGGAGCTCCTAACATTCATAAGCATACAGTGCCAAGGAGGCTAATTTGAATTTGTGCCATGTGACAGCAATGTGGTAGCATAGCGGAATGTGGGTTGAGACTGGTGATTCCCAGCGAAGGAAATTTTTGATCTTGGCAGCACTGACAGAAAGTGACTGTAAATTAAGTACTTCCCCATGTGGAGAGAGGGAAAAAAACTGAAGAGCAAGTCGCTCCAGGGCACTCTCATGAACCTTAGTAGTCAAAACAATAAGAGTCTGTGAACAGGTTAGGAAGCAGTGAACAGTGCGAGGATACCTAAGAGAAAGAAAGAATAAAAATGCATTTGAGAACATTATATGTGTGCAGATGCAAGTGAAGGTACAAGAAAATAAAGAACCCTTGCAAAATAATGCTAGTAGAGAAATAATGACCCAAATGTTGCAGTCAGCAACAAAGCAAGAGCATTGCTGCTCTCAAAGGGACTGCGCTGAGAGCTTCTCTGATTGAGCCCTCCTGATGTTTAATTGATTTAAGCACAGTTTGATGAAATTCACAGCATTGAGTTACAGTCATGCTGTCCAAGCAGCCAATCACTATAAAGAATTTCCACGAAGAGCTATCCAGGAAATATAAAGCACAAGTAATCAGTTATCAAAAAAGAAATTATAGAGTTATAGAGACTGGGTTATATACATAGGATGAAGGTAGAAGGTGATATATGAAAAATGCTTAATTTTTAAAAGAATGTTCAAAAAATCTAATGATTGATCAAAATGAAGACACTCAATAACATGTCACAGTTTGATTTCTTCTGGGACAGATTGCTTGTCCAGCAACAGTATATAGTTCAGTCACCACTTAAAACTCTGTTACACTTCACTAAATTGGGCTGAACCCTATATGGCATATCTAAAACTAACAGAGTAGAAAAATGAAAGTTTATGGTATATTAGCTGACACCACTTACTGTTGGTTCAGAGTGTTGCGTGGCTTGCGCACCGGTTTTGGGTGCGAAGGGTAGTTAACCGTGTAACCTAGGGTGAGGCACTGACAAAATGACAAGATTGCACCTTCAGGCTTTTTGGGCTCATATGTGTTTGCACTGAGTTCTGAAGTTGTGGTCAGCTTCAGCAGGCTAACGAGTGTGAACACTGACATTTACAGTCAAAGGCTCTGCAAATTCTTGGCCATTATTCTTAAGGCACTTTAGCTTAAATGTTAATCTCACTGCATTATGTATTGTGAAACATGATTAAGTATTCACTAATACCAATTCCCATCACTCAAACCAGTTACTGGAATTGGAGTAGATTTGTCGAGTTTTCTTCTAAGCCAAACTAACTGTTTAAATGGATTGGAACATCAGGAAACAATCAAGATGGAAATAGACAAATTGGATATGAAAGAGGTAAAAATGTAGACACAAAGCATTGGCCCAGATCGTCTAGTCAGGATTGGAAACCCTAATTCTGATCCTGATCAGACAAAAAAACTTACAAGTTTAACTTCCACCAGTTTTTCTGAGGGATCTTCCAAATGAGGTTCAAATATCTATACATTTCTTTGAAAACTATAGAGGATAGTTTTTTTAAGAGGTAAAAAAATTAAAAAGAAACAAAACTGCAGATGCTGGAAATCTGAAACAAAATCAGAACTTTTATTAATTCATCTTTGACACCTTCCATCACCTTACTGAGTAAACTGATGGGGTGATAATTGTCTGGGTTGAATTTGTCCTGCTTTTTGTGTACAGGAAATACCTGGGCAACTTTTCACGTTGCCATGTAGATGCCAATGTTGTAACTGTACTGGTACAGATTAACTAGGGGAGCAGCAGGCTCTGGAGCACAAGTCTTCAGTACTCTGCCTGAAAGTTGTCACGGCCCATAGACTTTTCAGTATCTAGTGTCTCCAACCTTTTCTTGATATCACATGGAGTGAATTCATGAACTGAAGACTGGTATCCGTAATGTTGGGGACAACTGGACGGGGCTGAAGTGGATCATCGAAATTGCAGGAGAAACTCACCAGGTCTGGCAGGATCTATGAAGAGAAAGCAGAGTTAACATTTCAGGTCCAGAGCTGGATCTGAAACCTTAACTCTGCTTTCTCTCCAGATGCTGTCAGATCTACTGAGTTTCTCCAGCCGTTTCTGAGGGCAGGGCCAGAGAGGTAAGCTGTCAGAGGGATAATGCTATCTAAGTAGGAATGAGTGAGGGGTGGGTAGGGTGGTGGTTGGGGCAGGGGTCGGGAGGGGCAGAGGATGTGCCATAGTGGAGTAGTTGCAGTAGGCCAGGTCAGGGGTGTGGTTAGTTAGGATCAATAGGTGAGTCGGGGATTTTTTGTGAGTGAACAGGGGACAATAGCATATGTAGACAGGAACTGGACTTGAGTTTGTTCTTGTTTAATATTTCCTGGGTAACTATCCAGGTAAGTAAGTCAAAACAGTCCAAATTCTCTAACTCTAATTCAGAATCAGGGTATTTTCCATATGGTCCAGGGCGCAGAAGAATTGCCAATGAGGAGTTCAACTTCCTGGCAAGTCGGTGTGGGACTTCTGAGGTGATCTGTAGCAGGGGATGTCTGGCCTCTGATCACCTGGACACTGGAGAATCTGGACATTATTTTAATATCATTGCACTCAGTTGTCTTGCGACATGAGTCTAAATTTTCTATTTGCAGTAGTTGGTCTGAGCAAGGAATTTTGTGGAGGTGATGGAGTCTCTTGGCCACTAGCTGGAGAGCCAGTGGGAAATCCGTATTGCCTCCAATGGGGATAATTTTCCAAATTACAGGCCATTGCTGTGCCATCCTGGGGATCAAGACCCTAAGGGCAGAAAGACCCACCTGCTCAGAACTGCTGACCAATCCGAGGCATTATCTTCTGCTCAGCAGTGCCATTTGGGGGATAAAGGCTGCTGGAGGAAATACATTCATTGGAGGCCCAAGAAACAGAGTGACCGAGGCCAAAGGTAAGTGATTTTGGAGGAGTGGGGGTTCGTCACAACTGAGGGAAGGTATGGTGGGATCAGTCAGTAAAGACAGAGAAGTAGCTTTCAGCTGGCCTCCACTTACTTATGGTTAGTCCCTTACTTGGGCAATGAGTGCCTTTGAATGAGGTCCTCCCTGGGAGACTACAGACAACTTGCACAGGTTTCTCTTGTTTCAGGGTGTGATTCACCATCAGTGTCAGATCATGCAGATCACTACCAACCGAAAGCTGGCACTGCACATTTATCCTATGGCAATTGACAGTTCCATCATTACTCAGTGGAATTTCAAGACTAGCTAGACAAATCCTTGAGGATTCTGCTGGGGGAGGGATGTATGAAGTTATTGAAACCTTGTCAATGTACTGATTTAGAGATAGTAAGAACTGCACATGCTGGAGTCAGAGACAACACAGTGTGGAGCTGGAGAAACTCCGCATGCCAGACAGCATCAGAGAAGCAGGAAAGTTGACATTTTGGGTCGGGACCCTTTTTCAGAAAGGACGTTCTGAAGAAGGGTCCCGACCCGAAACATCAACTTTCCTGCTTCTCTGATGCTGCCTGGCCTGCTGTGTTCCTCCAGCTCCACACTGTGTTACCAATGTACTGATTTGTTCATATCTGGACATGCTGAGTTAATATCACGTAGTTGTTATCATTGGGGTTAATGATCCTATCACACTTGTTGGTGTATTACTGAGGGCATGACAATGTCACTTTGGACCATCACAAATTGTCCTGAAGGTGCCATGTATTCAAGAGTGACATCACATTGAAGTGGCAAATGTCCTGTACAGGTACACATAGTGGACTTTTCCATTCCCAGTAGAAATATTTTGCAAGGTGCTTCATATTCTTTTTACATTATTTATGAATTTATGGTGCTCAGAAGTTATGATGCTTTCATATGTAGATCATGGATTGCAACATTCTGGAAATCTGAAATTGAAGGTAGCCTTGAGCCGGCCCTCCAGCCAGAAACTTGTTGTTCCTCCTCACTAATAATGTGTGATTCGCTGATCCATTTTTTTTTATAAAGGGGCATGGGTTAAAAATCGTTTTAAATTCTAATTCTAAATGTTGACTAACCATCAGTTAAGTGGTATCTAGAAAGTTTTGCACAGTCTTGAATGTTTTATTGGACATGGATGTAAAGATCATGGAGAGATGGTGCAGTGGGAGCTCACTAAGAGAATACAAAGAATGGAAGCTTAGTCATGCGTAGAAGCTCTGACTGTTAAGTAGAAGAGAGAAAATTTAAGGGGAGATTCTTAGAAGTGTCAGCACTTGGAAGGGTTCTGGAAAGGTATGTAAGGAAATGCTGTTTCCAGGAAATATTTATGTTTCCAGGAAATATTTATGTTTCCAGTTATTTTCTGTTGTGTCTGATATATGAATGAAGAGGTGTTGTAGGCCATTCACACCTTACCTTTTTCTTAACTTAGCACAAAGCACAAAAGTCATCTGCAGACTAAAGAAAAATGAAAATGTTGCCTGTTTTCAAGATGATGTCTAAACAATTATCACCAAATAAGAAATGTCTTTAATTCTCTTTCAGATCCCTTTCTGAGATCATGTAATTGCTAAAGTATCACAGATGTTATAAGATATTGTACTAGAAAATGGCCCAGCTAAATTAAATGTCTTGTTGAGCTATTTTATGGCTGGAGACCTGTTCAAATAATCTCACATGTAATGCTGAACATTTGACTCTCTTTGCTGTTTAGATACTAGCAAAAGCAAAGGGTGTCAAGTGGGAGAATCTGTTAAAATTGGGAGACTTACAAACTGAACTGGGAGTCAGTCTGGAGACAATGGTTTCAACTGTGGAGCAAATTCTGCATCCAGAACCTTACAGCAGAGAGGAAGTTTGTGAACATCTTGGAATCAGTCAAGAAGAGCTATGCAGCAACATTCTCAGCCAGAACACACAGCATGGTGAGTCCCTGAAGAAAACTCTAACAAGCACATTATAATTGCTTTATGCCTTCTTGAACTTCATTCCTAGGGATACATTTCTTGAGGATGTGGTAAAGTGTTGCTGACAACATTAAAATATTAGTTTTGTGAAATAATGAGTAATTTACATTCTAATGTTTTTGGGCAGTAGAGAAATGAGAAAAGATATTTTTGCCAACTCCTATTATTTTATACATATAAAAATATATGGCTCATGGTTTCTCACATTAAAAGACAAGTGGTTACCCTATCGTGCCAAAACTAAAGTACTGAACATATTTGGTTTGATTTTTTTTTCATTGTGCCTATGTTTGCAGATCATGAACTTGTAGACTTGATCATTCATAAATACATATAATCTCAATCTACCTGCCTTGAATCCCTGTATTTATCCTCCTCATCTATAATGTGTGATTCACTTGAGGTTCTCTGATCCATTTTTTTAAAAAGGAGCATGGAGTAAAAATTCTGTTTTAAATTCTAATTCTAAATCTCTACTAAACATCAGTGAAGCGGTATTTAGAAAGTTTTGCACAGTATTGAATGCTTTATTGGACAAGGGATGTCGAGGTCATGGAGAGATGGTGCAGAGGGAGCTCACTAAGAGAATACAAAGAATGGAAGCTTAGTCATGTGAACAATCTGTCACTCTCAGTTTTGACTTTCGAACTAACTTAGCTTCAGCTGCTTTTGGGGGAAGAAGGTTCCAGATTTCCACTGCCTTTTGTGTGAAGAGATGCTTTCTGACATCACCTCTGAATGGCCTAGCTCTAATATTAAAATTATACCTCCTTGTTCTGGACTCTGTTGTGATGATACTATGGCTTTAAGACGTGTATTTTGTCCTTTTTTTAAATGAAGAAAGGTTGTGATAGTGTTACCGGGAGATCTGCTTCAAAGCCAATAAAGTAACTGGCTTGTGAGGCCTTGGGGTTTTTAAAAAGAAGTTGGAACAATAGAAGCAGCCTGAATGGGTGGGGTTGAGCTCCCATAAAACAAGGATTTTTAGTTTTAGTTTTTCAGTAGCAATTGCTGGGGTCTCAAAGCTGGATTTGGACGTGGCAGTACATCTATCACTGCTGGTCACTCTTGCAGAGTTTTCTCATAATGTTTTTCCTCCTGGACTGAAGAATTATAAGTGGACAATCTATTTTACTGAATTTGCCTTTGCCAAGGGTGTATTTAAGGATGGTACTATATTGGAACAGTTACTGTTTAGTAGTTAAGTAATCTATTATTCTGTTAAGTTTTCCAATAGAGTTGTTATTCCAATCTTTCTTTTGTTGTAGTCTACCTATAGCATCTCAATAAAGTGTGTTTTGATTCAAGAGTGGGAGTTTGACCAATCAAGTTGCATCCAGAACACAACGCCTGGCACTTACCTTTAAAATAAGAGGATCTAGACTATCCTTTTAATATATTTTGAGACGGTTTGATCTGGTCCATAATACTGCCACCAGAGGGAATTGTTGCTCTCCAACAACTCTTATCAATTCTTTGATTTGTGTTATTAAATCTCTTAATTATCTTGATATTTTTTGGTGATAATGTCACCCCTTCAAGCAGTTTGCAGCGCTGATAAAGTTAGAATATTTAAACGTCCAAGAGGCAATTTTGGACCATAGTTGATGAGAAGATTGAGTTAGCTGACTGAGTGATTAAGTTGAGGCCAAATGTGAGCATTTTGCTCCAAATGTGATTTGAATGCACAATAGAAGGGCAACATATGTCACAGAAGCATGAGGCCATTAGCAAGAGCTCTAAAGTGTGGAAATAAAGTCAGCTTATCTGAATTGCACCTTGATTTTTGGAGGGCAGATAATGAATTCTACCCACCAGTCTCAGATTCTGCTATTTTTTATCTTAAATTGTAAGCAGTTGCTGTAACCATCAAGGCAAGCAGAAACAGGATTCAAAGATCTGATTGTGTGCATATCACAAATATAAATTTCTACACTATAATTTTTCCTTTTTGGATTTTAAGGGTCCTTTTGTAGCTTTCAAATTTTGTATCATTCTTGACATTTATCAACTGCAAAACAAAGTAACTGCATTTTGAGTAGATACTATAAATTTGAGGAATCAGCTTAATCATTGTACATTATAATTAGTGTATCTAAGTGCTATGGAAAAGCTAAATCCAGAAAACTACTTTAAACTTCCACAGTTTCAAGCTTGTTGAAAGCAAGTAGAGAATTGATGTCAAGGAGTTCTTCACTCATTGTGATCATGGAAAAAATTCCCCATAATGGAGGCAAAATCCCTGAATCATTTAAGAACCAGTTGGATGTTGCAATGGAGGATCTTTAATGTCCTTAGGGACAGATGAATAAATATAGACAGATGACCTTTCTCTTCTGTAATCATCTGAGTAATGCTATTCCTAAATTTCATTTGAGATGAAACCACCAAAACTTTA